TTTTTTTAAACTGAGAAAGCTAATAAACTAACACAAACCGCATGAAAACTAACATGCAAAACCATCATGCAAAACATCCTAACAATTTGAATGAAAACTGAAATTAACTGCTGCAAAACAACAGGTCTTTGTCCAGCCCGATTGGCCCGGTTCTCATCAGCATTCCAGAACATTGGCTTCATATTTCACAAAATATCACAAGAGAATCATACAAACACACAAGAACTTAACCCCGACAACCAAAAAAAAAATTGAAAAGAATACAAAAGACTAATCTTCATCATTAGCAATACCACTAATCATCTGATTCCTACTTATCTCTCTACAGTAAACTCGTCCATTTTCCCGAAACACGATCAACCAATCACCCACTACAACCACTCTTCTTCAACAAGAAATCACAGCCAACAGAGAATACTTAACGCGAAGAGATATTTTCCCACCGTCAACCACGAGCCTAGCCCCCGACACGACCCAGTAACCCGGCGAGTGCTGGGCTCCTCTCGTCATCTCTTTCGTGTCCACAAACCTCAAGAGCTTAAGCGTCTGGGCAGGCACTGGTGGGCCTTCCGGATACAAAGCCGAGTTGACGTTCACATCCGATGGGTTCGGACCGGGCTTCTGCCCTGTCGAGAAATTTCCACTAAACAAAGACGATATGAGGCCCGATTTTTGGGTCAGGGCGTGGGACCCATCCCACTCGGGCTTCTTCACAACCGCAGCGCCCTCAACTCTAGAGAAGTGGAGGCGCAAAAAGAGGACATTCTTTGCACCGGAGTCCTTCACCTCGAAGCGGGCCCCAGTGACTATGGAGAGTTCATCGTCTGACTCAACTGGAGCCGTGCATACGTGCGAGAAGCTCCTCCAGTGGACCTTCTCAAAGTATCTGCGGTCAGAGGAGTTGTTTTGTCCGCCACGTGGCTCGTTTTGAAGGCAGAAGCTTTCAGGGGAGGAGGAGAGGTGCTGCAAGTGTATTGCCAGGCAGTTGCTTCTTTTTCCTTCCAGGTAGAGACGCAAGCCGGTCACGGGTTTATTTCCAGCATCGACCTGTGCTAGAAAAAAAGTTAGCAAAGGGGTGTATTGGCTACTGAAAACAAAATGAAACTTACTGGCATGAGAAGTGGTTAAATTTGTACTCATGACTATATCAGAGTTTAAAGTTCAGCATATGTCTGGTCACTAAATGAACCTTAGGCAGAAAGCTATATTGATTCCTCAAATATCATGTAAAGTCTGACTACTGAATCATGGCAAAGTTTGTGAGTGGTCCATCTCTTGGCAATGTCAGATAATGTTCAGAGAATAGTGCGAGTGGAGTTGTAATAAAAAAACCATGTATCTTACGATATTCTGTGTGATCCAAACATCAAACAAGTCCCATATCTTACAGAAACAACATCAATGCATAATTTTTCACACCATTACCAGTTCTGAATAGTTATGGTTATCGTGCCAAGAAAATGTAATCTCATTTATCTACTCTAAATAATTTGTCCTCGGATGAAATAAAAGCAAAATCGTCCTCTTATGAAATAAAAACAGAATCTTTCACCCAGCAACTTTCAGGTTGTTCAATCCTTCAAACTGAGAAAAAACAAAGGCCATGGACCTGCAATCTATGGTTTATGGCAGACCTCACATACTTTGATTTCTTAGTTCCAGCACCATCAACCTTAATTTGCTCATCACTAAATGTCCAAGGAGTTGGAAGAAGCTGATTCCTTAAAATCTTTTAGAGTGAACATACTTAAAACTGGAATTGGTTGTGTAGATTAGCACAAGAAACTTTTTTTTTTTTCGATACAGTTGAATACACTTCCAGATTAATAGTTGCATTCGCTCTCTCAACATTGAACTAAAATAGCCAAATAGGAGTTTTGCATAACTTTACCTCATCAGTATTTACGTAAAGCTTGGGACCCATCAAACTGAACTTCAAAGATGCAGTGCCTTGCTGCTTTCTGTCAGGGCCAATAGGGACTTCACCGAATACTGGTGCCCATTGCCTGGGAAGTTGAAATTCTAAAAACTGATGAAGTTCTTCAATAGGTGGCTTATCTGCAGGTGGCAGAGAACATTTCGCATTCAATAAGAACTCTATTCAGCATTCACTCTAATATAGAAATTCGCTATGCGCTCTAATTTAAGTATAGCCACTAAAATCTGCTCTCAGATACATTCCAGATTGAATTCGGGAAACGACAATCTTCTTAACTTATTATTATGCATGAAACAGGACAGCAGGACAAGCGAATCAAGACCATTATTTACTCAATATTTCATAGAAATTAGTTGTAATGAAACTGTCAGGAAGCACTATATATATATATATACATATATATATATATATATATACAAGCCTGCTCAGTGCACCAAATCAAACAACTCCCATCTATCCGCTCAATCACTAAATATACCCTAAGAAAAAAAAATATACTTACAGCGCAAATATAGATTGATGGCATGACCCAAGAAACCACTCCCATCTATTCCGCTCAAGAGTGATGAAATTGGAATGAAAGTCATTGAGATTACTTCAGGTTCGGTCTGAACAGTTTGACACCACTTACTATGAGGCATATCCCTACTGTTGCTTCCACCTCTCCTCCTCCAGAAGAAAGTAACTTCCTGGGATTTACATTATTAAAGTAAGCATAATCTTTAAGGTAATGGGACTCAGGCAGACCAATCGAATTCAAAGAGTTATGCAATCAAATTCAATGCATTTGTACTCGTTCCCAATGTTGAATATTTCGTCACACTGAAACTGATTTGCAAAATTGTTACCTCTTGGCTAGAGTGGAAACTTGACCCGCTAGGATCCAATAGTCCAAGTCCTTTCTCATTAGTTGCATCCTTAAAGAAGAAGAAGAAAAAGAAGAAGAAGAAGTATTAGATGATGCTCCTTTTATTAATTTACTGTGATCAGAAAAGAAAAGTGGGAAAAATAGGATATGGAGTGCCAAATTAATATGAATCGTATGTATCCTTCCCTAAGATGGCTAACAAGAAGCACATTAATGGATTCATAAATTCATTTACACTGACAAGCAAATACAAAACACTGTAGCTAGAAGGCCATATGGACACTTGCATTCTTGTTGCTACTTCACCATCAAATTTAAATAAACCAACTTATTAACTTTATCACAATTTATTTTTGAGAGATGAAGTGGCAGAAAACCAAGGTGGCTGAATCACAGGTTTAACCATGAAAACTCGTTTCAGCAATTGCACTTGAAATCTTGGCGTTAAGGGGAAGTAGACAATGATGCTGCTATGATGATAGATTATTATAATTATGTCTTCCACAGTTGATGCACATTGCACTGCTGCTGCGGGAACTTGACATGCTAAATAAATAAATTTCCTTATTACCTCCAAAAGTTCAGGTGTAACAATTACACTGTTATGATGATTATTGTCTTCCACAGTTTGATGCATAATACACTACTGCTGAAAATTCCAGGACACCGAAAACGATTTTATTGAGCTTGGCACCATAATGCACAAATGGTACATGTGCTGCTTCATCCACATTCATGACAGAAAATTGAAGACCTTAAATATGCTAATTCCACAAATTAGCCAGTCGTGGATTGTCTAGATATTATTTTACCTCTCATTGTCATCCACACAGTAATTCTTTCGAAATTTACACTTCATTCATTCAATGCATATGGGTTTGATTCCTAGTATACAAGCAATGTCGGGACCATGGATTAACTTAAACAAAAAAAAAAAAAGAAAGAAACACGGTAATGGAAATGTAACCAGCAACACAAACCTTTTCTTTGCCATAAGCTTTCTCAGGGTGTCGGTCGGATTGTCCACTCACATCAGTAAACATCCTGTCGGCAACATCTTTCAACTTCTTTTGTACCTCAATGGGTTGGAGAAATGACGAATAATGCTGCTTTACATATATAACATCCTTTCCCCCCATCTTTACGCCAACAACTACATGGGTACCGTAATTCTCGATAAATCTGCATATGCATTTGATCTTTGAATTAAAAGTCCATTCATTCTACAAATGAAATCATTAAATGTTAGGATATAATCTGAAACACAAGCTTATTGCAGTGCTATAATTAAGAACCTTAAAGAACCGACAAGCACCAACCTCTGTTTGAGGGTGGTCTACGGAAGATCTCAACTTAACAATCATCAAAACATAATCAAATCATGGAAACAAAACAAATTAACATGTTGTACAATCTCATTATACATAATTAATTCCTGCATTTTTGTGAACACAATAAGAACTGACTGCACATACCTGTTTATACCCTTATAAACATACTTGACTAAAAAGGAAACCAAATAGAATTCTTAACCAGTGTAACATATCACTCATGGAGGCCATAGCTGCACAATCATTCAGTATAAAGCCTGCAGCATGATGTTACAGTCAGCCGTCACCTACCAAATTATCGAGATAAGTGCAGCATACTTTCTCAGAACACCAAAAGAATATTAAAACACGTTTTAGTTAAGATATCAATCAGAAAACCAACTGAAAAACTACAAAGAAGGAAATATCATGGAGGAAAAGACTTACACAATTAAAAGCTCAATTATATAAACATAGAAGAAGATGAATCAGAAAGACTTTATGTATCACCTTGCCAGTGCAGCTGGGTCCCACATTGATGGCACAGCTTGTTTAACATGATCTCTAAGCATTAATTGGGACTTTTCTAATGCAATGCTGTAGAGGGTGATGAAAACCCCATCAAAAGCAAGGGATTTCGTGAAGGCGGCATCTTTCTGCCAACAACCCGTGAGCTCAAACGCTGCATTCAGATGTCCTGTCGGAATTTTACTTGAAAGTGATAATTCCTGGTTGAACTGTTCTGACATCTAGAAAGTGAAATTAAGAAACACAAGTTCAGAAATCACAACCATTTCAATCACAAGAAGCCTATAAAATCAGCATCTATGTACTACTCACAATTCATTCTACAGTTTTTATCGTGTTTTACAACACTATAGCATAAAACGTAACCCCGAATTTCAGTACCAGCTATCTGAAACTGAATCTTCAGCTCTCACTATACAAAAAGCACATCAAATCATAAAATTACAACCCCCCTCCCTCCAAATATAATTCAGACAATTAATCACATTCCATCCAGTTGCCAGTGTATTCTTGGGCAGAATTTTCAAACACAAGTACCTGCTGAAAGGGTATAACATCAGAGCTGAAGCGCGTGCGATCGCCTTTATCACAATTGATAGGCTTGGGTACATTTTGGACCAAAATACCCCCCGGAACAGCGATATCCCTGACCAGGTCGTCGTCCATGGCGATCAGCCTACTCTGCTCCCTTTTGCAGTACTTCAAACGGAGGTCCAGCGTCAAATCGTAACCCAGTCCGATGCTCTTCACTGCCTCCTCCGCCGCCGCCCTCAGCCTCATCGATATCTCTTTCTTACTACAACTACCACCTCCATTATTCGCCATAAGAAAAGGAATTTATATAAGAAGAAATAGAAGGAGCTCAGCCCTTTTACCGAACGGATTTAGCAGGTGGGTAGTTTTGAGGTTGAAAAGAGAAGACTGAGTCGGGAAAATATTGGATCGTTAAGATGGCTTTTTTGGTGGAAGAGTTTTGATAGCGGAAAAGTTAGAAGACCTTTTTGTATTAGTTTTTAGAAAAAGTAGAAGCAGTGGGTGGCGGGAAGTCAAAGAAGTGCCGCGCCGCCGTCGTCAGCCACAATGAAATAACTGGTACATCACCGGCCGCATCCCAATAATTGATGTTATAACTAGTGTTTTGATTTTATAAATAATTCATGAGTTATTCAAAAATCAAGATAACATTTTTGAAAATCAACTTGAACATGGGCATTATCATAGTTCAAGTCTTATCTGAACTCACGAGATTCATTACTCGGTTTTCACATGGATTTCATTATACGATAACATTTCACATAATATTCAGCTTAACACCTCAGCATGAATAACCAAACTCAACATGATATTCAAATAAACACATCAATCATGAATATCGAATCAACATGTTCCAAAATGAAAAATACCAAATTATAGGGTTTTCAAAACAATCCATAATCCCAACATTTTTAAAACACAAGTTCGAAAGCAAATTAACATGTTTGAAAAACTAATACGACAGGTTCATAAAGTCGGACCTACATGATCATAATCAAAAGCGGAAGCAAATAATCATAAAACAATGACCAGCCACTCATCCTCTCCTCGCCATGCTCGCCATAGGTTTTTTCGGGCCGGTACAGCCCTAAAAAAAACCAAAGAAAAAAAAGCAATGTGACCTGCGACCCGTCCCGGCCCGACGGGTCAAAAACTAAAAGTTTATGAACCAGGACCGAACCGCAACCCTACGGGTTCGGTTCAAGGAACCGACCCCTAGGAGGACGGTTCCAGGCCGCTTCGGACCGAACCGGGACCGGTTCACGGGCCGGTTTAGCCCGTGGACACGTCTATACTCAACACACCATTTCACATTACTCCTGTGTACACATCTATCAATAGCCGCGGAAAGGAGATTCATTACCCTAACGGCGGGAGTACATGCCACGCTACGGACACGGCCTTGCATAGGGACTTACATACCTCACAAGGGCACGGCCTATTAGGACTTAAGGAGACTGCCTCGCAAAGGCACCATATTACATCGCCGGGGACAATCGTACCGACGACCGTAACATCTCACATCGATAGGTTACATGGTTCACATGCATACAGTGATCATACCAACTCAACAAGACATAAATAATTTACGGCATAGAAATTCTGATAAATATAACCCACATAATAATAAACCCAGAAACACACATATACACCAAAGATCAACCCGTAGAAATCATTTTAACCCAATCAAATAATTTTTGCAAAACTACAGCCGTACAGTGAAATTCCTAGTTCCCCAGGCAAACCTTCGAGTTTTTACATGAAATTTTGACACCACTGGCATAAAGGCAGAATAACACAAACCACAAAATTTTAGCTCAAAATTTGAATTTATCAAGAATCTGACCAGAACTTCAAATCACCAAAAGAATCTGACCAGAACTTCAAATCACCAAAACACATATCTATAGGTCGGATTTTAACTTGAAATTTTTACACCACGAACTTCATCAACAGAGAGCCAACATATCAATAATTCACATCAAAATAACCAGAACTCGATTTATCATGAGTTTTCAAAATCCAGCAGCACGATCAACTTCTAAAATTCATAACTCACAATATAGGCATCCAAATGACACAAGGCTTTCACTAACATGTCAAGGACACACCAAAGTACTTACAACTCCAGGGTTTCCACGAAATATACCCATGTCCTTCAGTTTCGACATCAAACCGAAGAGACAAACGCAAAAACAACATTGATTCATATCATATATTATTGATGTCATATGATTCTTCCAAAACAAGATCATATCAACCCATATACATAAAAATAGAGGGTGTTTCAGCCACTTAACATGAATTAACATGATATCAACACAACTCAACATAATTCACTCAATAAGCATATGAATATCACTCAAACCCTAACATATAATATAAGGACCATCACATAAATCAACAAGACACACAATAACAAGGGTGTTCAAGCCATCATGTACCATTCTCGGGAAAACACGCGAAAACGTATGGAGAGAGGAGTTGAACGGGCTGCTGGCCGAACTCAGGTGAACCGAGGTGATCGACGGCGTTGTATGCAGGCCTGAACTCTTCATGAACAGGGAAAACGAAACTCGCCGGGGTTACTCGTGTTCGGGAAGGGGACGCCGGACCTGGTGACTCGCTGCCGGGATTTCACGCAAGGACGGTGGCGCGCGGAAGCCAGGGGAAGGAGCAGCGGCAGTGACAAGCTTGGTGAAGGAGGGGTTATCTTCTCTTCTTCTTGCGTGAATGAGCGAGTAAGAGATGAGATTTCTCTTTTCTGCTTTCTGAACGCGATCAAGAGGGAGAGAGATATATGAGAGATGGTCGTTTTTTTTTTAACAGGGAAGGTTTCTCTTCTGATTTTCCTTCACGCGATCGAGAGAGAGAGAAAGAGAGAGAGAGAGAGAGAGAGAGAGAGAGAGAGAGAGAGATGGGCACAGCGTGATCACGACGAAAAAGGAAGTGATGAGAAGGAGAACAAATATCTCTTATAAACATAAGCATACCTAAGGTTAAAAAATAATACTTGCTAAACAAGAAAGAGAGGAAAGGAGAGCCTGTTGGGCTCAGATGCGCAATGCGGAAGATGTAAATTAAATATCAATGTAAAATGGTGAACAATAATCCCAATCTCAGCAACTCAAGAATGACAAAAGAAAATATTTTGCAATAACACAAGAATAATTCTTTTCTGATGTGGAAGATCAAATTAAACTGCGACCACAGAGCATACTAAGAATATCCCAAATAAATTAAATATCCAAGAAATAAGGCACCAAGATTTAACGTGGAAAAACCTCCAATTAGAGGAAAAAACCACGGGACAACCTCCGAACAATTCCACTATATTTTCAAGATAATTACAATATCTTTTCACACTCCCCTACCCTAGAAATGTAAAATATAGTGACCCAGTGAAACCTCACTCCTAAACAAGGAGTAATATAGTTGATACCCAACCCGGTGTATTTTTCCCGCACTAACAGGATTTACTCAAACACTCTATTTTTATCTCACTGAAAAATAACACACACATAAATATTTTTCTGCCTCTCTTATTCTCTCTTTTTTCTTCTGCTTGGTGCGTCGTGCTTCTGCTGAATACCTCCCTATTTATAGGAGGAAAACGTAACACATTCAGCAGAATTTGGGCGGCTTCAGCATTATTTTGCAGCCTCCATTATTAACTCTTTTATTTTTTTTTTTTATTATTTTTTTCTTTTTCGGTGCCACCTAAAAAAAATTTGTTTGTTTGTGTTTGTGGAAAGATTCCTTCATATGGCTGGACCCCACAATTCTCCCCCTCTAGCCAAAGGGTAATATTCTGCAAATCTTTACATGCATTCTATGCCGATCAACTCGGCACAAAGCTGAAGTTTTCCTCATGTTACAACTTTTGTCATCATGTCAGCAGGATTCTTGTCAGTGTGAATCTTTTCTAACTTAAATTGTTATTCTTCCACTGCTTGACGTAACCAATGATATCTGACATCAATGTGCTTCGTGCGAGAGTGGTACATCGCATTTTTACTCAAATCCTGCAAATATAAACACAAACCCCGAAGTAGATTTTCTACAATCCAGGTCACCTGCCATATCTGCATCTGTATAACCTTCAAGAATTGGGTTTCCTTTTCCAAAGCTTAAGGACTTATTTGCACTGCCTTTTAGGTATCTCAAGATCCACTTCACAACTTCCCAATGCTTCTTCCCAGGATTGGAAAGATACCTGCTAACAATTCTAACCGCGTGAGCGATATCTGGTCTTGTACAGACCATGGCATACATCAAACTCCCGACTACTGAGGGAGTATGGAACACCCGCCATAGCTTCTTTTTCTTCTTGACTCGTAGGACAACTTCGTTTGCTGAATTTGAAGTGATTGGCTAACGGTGTATTGATCGGCTTAGCCGATTTTATGTTGAATCTCTCCAGAACCTGATTCACATACCGTTCTTGCGATAACCATAACCTCTTGGATTTTCGGTCTCGCTTGATCTGCATGCCCAAAATTTGTTCGCAGGGCCCAGATCCTTCATATCAAAGGACTTTGCTAATTCCTTCTTCAAATCACCAATCAGCTTCATATCTTGTCCCACTATCAACATATCATCATATAACAAAAGGATAATGATTTTATCACCTGAAAATTTCTTAACGAACACACAATGATCTGCATCAGTCTTGGTATATCCATGGCTCGCCATAAATGAGTCAAATTTTTTGTACCACTGTCTTGAAGCTTGTTTCAGTCCATACATGCTCTTCTTCAATCTGCAGACCATGTGTTCCTTTCCAGTCTGCTCAAATCCTTTTGGTTGCTCCATGTAGATTTCTTCATCTAGGTCTCCATGAAGAAATGCAGTCTTCACATCTAGTTGTTCAAGCTCCAGATCCAAGCTAGCCACCAATCTGAGTACTACTTGAATAGAGCTCATCTTTACAACTGGAGAGAATATCTCATCAAAATCTATTCCTCGCTTTTGTCCAAATCCTTTCACGACTAAGCGAGCCTTGTATTTCAACAGCTTGTCACCATCTTTCTTAAGCTTGAACACCCATTTATTTTTCAAGGCTTTTCTGCCTTCCGGAAGCTTCACTAGCTCATAAGTTTCATTTTTCACCAGTGAATCCATTTCTTCTTGCATAGCTTTCATCCGCTGGGATTTATCCTTATGAGTTTGTACTTCTTCAAAGCTTTCTGGCTCCCATTCTTCAGTGATATTAAAATACGTGGAACAAGGTTATCTCGTAGATG